TATATGTCGGTATGGTCTACCTGAAAGGATTATCACCGATAACGCAACAAACTTGAACAACAAGATGATGAGTGCTGCTTGCGAACAGTTCAACATAAAACATCACAATTCCACTGCTTACAGACCAAAGATGAACGGAGCAGTAGAAGCAGCAAATAAAAATATTAAGAAGATAGTGGAGAAAACAACTGAAACCTACAAAGACTGGCATGAGAAGTTGCCTTTTGCTTTGTTCGCTTATCGAACCTCGGTACGTACATCGACTGGGGCAACTCCATTTTCACTAGCCTATGGGATGGAAGCAGTGCTACCCATTGAAGTCGAGATTCCGTCTCTCAGGGTCTTGTCAGAAGTCAAAATAGATGATGCAGAGTGGGCACAATCCAGATATGATCAGCTTAATCTGATAGATGAAAAAAGACTGAAAGCCATTCATCATGGTCAAATCTATCAGAAACGAATGATCCGAGCACACGACAAAAAGGTACGCCCGAGAATATTCCGTGAAGGGGATCTAGTGCTAAAAAGAATTTGGCCAGTCCAGAAAGATTTCCGAGGAAAATGGACGCCAAATTGGGAAGGACCTTATGTCGTGAAGAAGGCTTTCTCCGGAGGAGCCCTTATCCTGGCTGAAATGGACGGACCTGAGCTGCCACATCCCATTAACTCGGATGCAGTCAAGAAATACTTCGCTTAGGATAAAAACCCGAGAGGGCGTCCTAAGTTGAAAAAAAAAAAAAAAAAAAAAAAAAAAACGTTTGGGGTGAAAACCCGAAAGGGCGCCCTAAATTGAAAAAAGAAAAAGAGGAAAAAGAAGATAAGGTGGGTTCAAGATGAAAACCCGCAAAAGGGCGTCTTGCAACTAAGGATGGGTCCAAGTTGAAAACCCGGAAAGGGCGATTTGGATATCAACGGTGGAAACATCCCGGCACATGAATCTTCTACGAACTCAACAAATCGGAGAAATGTTGCACCCTCCCAAACATTGTCGCATTTTCAAAGATCCTTTGGCAAAGGCTGCATTCAAAGTCACCAAACGGCTTTTCAACTCAGAAGTGCCCACGTTATCGAGATCTAAGACATTCATTTACACATCACTGTGTATTCGTTTTCTAGAATGTTTGCCATGTATTATTTGTTCTTCTCCTCCCTTATGAATAAAGACCATCTTTCCTCCAATACCTTTTGAGCATCTTGAATTAGATTTAAACCTAATGGTTTATTTATTTTTATGAAAGATAATCACATATTGTTGTACAAAGATTCATTGAAAAGTACAGGTACTCAGAAGCCGATCAAGGCTCATGCACATGCTTGAGATGGTTGAGGAGCATCTTCAAAAAAAAAAAAAAAAAAATCATCATCAAATATTTGAAGAATTCAAGATCAGAGATCGGAACTTCAAGCTCAAGAGTCAACAACGACAGGCCACTGGAGATCGAGATTACTCTCCAGAGCTCAGAATAACACATGTTGCATATGCATTTTAGGCATACCTAAGAGCATGACATCCATAACATCACATATATGCATATCTTTGCAGGTTTTACCCAGAGCCAATTTCAACTTCACAACGAAGGATATTGGACTCCAGACAACGTAAGTTCAACTTCACGACGAAGGGACCGCTGGTTGTCAACGAACATTTCTCAATTTCAGAGCCAATTTCAACTTCACAACGAAGGATATTGGACTCCAGACGACGTAAGTTCAACTTCACGACGAAGGGACCGCTGGTTGTCAACAAATAATTTCCCAATTTCGGAGCCAATTTCAACTTCACAGCGAAGGATATTGGACTCCAGACGACGTAAGTTCAACTTCACGGCGAAGGGACCGCTGGTTGTCAACAAATAATTTCCCAATTTCGGAGCCAATTTCAACTTCACAGCGAAGGATATTGGACTCCAGACGACGTAAGTTCAACTTCACGACGAAGGGACCGCTGGTTGTCAACAAATAATTTCCCAATTTCGGAGCCAATTTCAACTTCACAGCGAAGGATATTGGACTCAAGACAGCACAAGCTCAACTTCACGACGAAGGGGCGGCTGACTGTCAACAAACAATTTCCCAGTTCCAGAACCAATTTCAACTTCACAACGAAGGATATTGGACTCTGAACAATACTTGGATTTCAACTTCACGACGAAGGACTTCCAATTCTCAGGCTCAAATTCACGACGGAGGAACCATATACAATTCCAACTTCACAAACGGATTGACTCAACTTCACGACGAGAGAGTCATCAGTGACACCACAACACCAAAGTCTTCAGGTCAAGTTTCACCTTCACGACGAAGTATCTTGAGCAAAAAGACGATTCAGAGGCCACTTGTCAAAAGCTTTGAGTTCGATTTCAACTTCACGACGAAGAATTTCGTGATCAGAATCTTTCGGTTTCGACTCAACCTCACGACGAGGGAGTCACTTCAGGATTCAATTCAAAATGACAAATCAGTCTTAGCATCGGATTTCAACTCTACAACAGAGGATATTCATGTTAGACAAAAAATGTGTCTTTTAATCTTTGTCCTACACCCGTTACACGACTATGGGCAAAGAGGGGCAGCTGTCGACACATATTTTTCGTCTCTATGGCATTTACATTCGCATTTGTGTTATTTATAATATATGGTTTATGTGTATACATATCATATTATTTTTTTGATTTACAGGTTACAGGCCCAACAGTAATGGCCCAAATCCCACATGACCCAAGTGACCAGCTGCCCAAACCAGTATGGATTAGGGTTTGTGTAAACCCTAATCTCTCAACCTTTCATCCAGCCGCCAACAATGGTGACCGTTGGATCTAGATGAGATCCAACGGTCCACAGCAAATGGTATCCAAGGGTTGCCCAGAAAACCCTAGCAAGACTCTCGCCCCAGCGCCGCAATACCGGTCGAAGCTCCCTCGCGCAGCACGTCTCCCACATCCGGTTTTCTCGGCATCGTGACCACATAGAACACCCAAAAAAACAACCAAGTCAGAGTCATGGATTGTGACCACAAACAAACCGAGTTTTACTCGGATTAAAACTCTAAAAATAGCCTAGGTTATCACTATAAAGCCATGTAATTAGAAGCTTTTGGGGGGATCACGGGGGAACTTGAAAAAAGTCATACGAAATATTGAGAGAAATATCAAGCAGTTTCGAAGTCTTTTGTAACACTTTCGAAAAGGAAATAAGAAGAAGGTAGCATCTTTACCTCTGTTCATTCGTCTTTCACTGTTGCATGTTGAGTGTTGCTTGAGATTTGTCTTCAAAACCACACAAATAACAACAAAAAAATGTTTTGGCCGAGGACCAAAGGGGGTTGCTTTCGAAGCTATTTTGCTAGATCTACGCGACCCCGAGGCCTGTTTAAAAAATTAGTTGGATTTTTGTAACCTACGCAAGAAGACCTTTCAAAAAAACAAAAGCTTTTTCATTTTCGCCGCCGAGGACCGCGGCCAGCGCCGTTCGCGGTGGCCGACGAGGCGGCATACGGTGGCCGGAGTCTGGGAACTACGGCGGCGTTCATGTGTTCATCAAGAACACATGAACCAAGCAGAGAAAGAAAAAAGAAAGGGGGAAGGATTCGGTTTGGAGAAGAGAGAAATGATTATTTTGCCAAAATTTTTGATTTTTATGCTTAAACATCCGCGTGTTTCTAGCTAAATTAGGGTAAACTACTCTTTCGGTCCTCCTTCCTTAAAGGCTCGTTATATTGGTCCCTAATCCGATTTTAAATTCCTATTTACTTTCAAATTGGCCACTTGATTTGCTTTCGTTTCATCTCAATCCTTATTATATATATACATACTAAAATATTTTTTTTTTTGGTGTTTTATTTATTTATGTTATATTATACAATTTTTCATTATTTCTTATATATACACGTAGATATATTATCGTTCGTACTTCTTTTCGTTTATTTCATTTCATTTGTTTTTTTTTATATACTAATATCTTGTTTAAACGTATTATCGTTCGTACTTCTTTTCGTTTATTTTCATTTCATTTTGTATTTTTTTTTATACTAATATCTGTTTAAACGTTATATATATATATGTTTTATATTTATCTTATTATTTCCTTACTTTTGTATTACTATAATTATTATTTAATTTTTCTATTTATTATATATTTTTCCCTCTCTCTCATATTTAGCTATTATATATATGAAATTAATATTATTATATGTTTTTTATTAATTTTACTTTATACGCTATTATTTTGCATTTTTATATACATATGTACATTTTATTTAATTCTTATCACTTTACATTTGTATATTTTTTATTTCACCTTATTTATGTTTATTTATTTATTTATTCCTTTCCTTTTCCGTTTTATTGGGTCTTATTTTCTTATTTCTTTATTTTTTTTATCTTATCACATGTTGTCATACTTGTCTTCATTTTTTTTCCTTCATGTTCTATATCTCCATGACGATTATGTTACTTTTGGTGTATCATCTATTGTTATTTTTGTCCTTTGTTTCGTTTTCTTTATCTTTCAATTTTAATTCATTTTCATCACCTTTTCTAATATACGTTCGGCTCCTAAAAGGTTCATCTTCAAGTCAATCAATTGTAAGTAATCGGATCGATATTTTACCTTCCAATTTAAAATTACGATTTTCTTAATTAAAGACAACTGGAGATTACACAGTACCGAAAGGGCAGTTCAAGGGTGCAAACCCTTCCTTGACTGTAACCGACTCCCGAATCCGACACATCTTTGGTAAGACGCAGATCAGGTAAGAAATAAGGTACCCGGTCAACCCATTTATTTTTAAATAAATGATCGGTGGCAACTCCAATTCACATTTTCCTAAGTCGAAGCCCGATTCCGGGGCCCAACTGAAAGACGGTTGCGACACATAGTATACTATTAAACATAGATATATTATCCCTAGGACGTGTCCATAGATTAGGGTCATTGAGTTGGGTCACGCGTCTACCACTTTAATTATAGTCCCAACCAACATCCATCATGTAAATTCCAATCCCTGCTTCGCGTGCCCAATTTCCTTTCTAATTTAATACCCCCTTCTTCCCCTTCCCCGAGAAAATAATCAGTTTTTCAGGGTTTTTCTTCACCATGACTTTCCCATGGAAGAAACCCAAATCAAACCTTTTCTCGCGGCTGGTCGCCGACCTCCACCGACCCCCCAAACGCGGCAGAACCCTCGTGGTGGAGACCGGCTTCCCCACCTCACTCGTCGACCTCATCGTCAAGAACCGTGATCGATTGAGAAAATCCCCTAAAAGAAACCCCACTTCTACCCAGATCCAAAGAACTTTTACCCAGTCGTTCCCTGCCCCTCCCTGCGATCAACAGGTACAATCTCCTCGGGTAGATGTTGGGAAATTAGTGGTGGTTCAGAGTGAACGCGCGGGTAGTGGTAGGATCGCGTTTAAAGTTATTATAGTGGCGGCTCTAGCTGTTAGTACGAAGCAGCTCACGCTTTGGATCATGATGGCTGCATTCTTTCTATTGCTAATAGAGTTTGTTGGGGTTACTGTTTTTGGTTTCTCGGCGCCGGAATCTTGCACCGTTTTGTTGGGTTCTTGGATCGGAAAGGGTTTGTTGGGTTTTAAGAAACGAACACCATCAGCACAACAAGCACTTGTTCTCCCTGATTCTATTGAGTTGATTGAGTTGGAAGATGATTGCGTCCAGGAAATTCAGATTATTGAATCAGAATCCGATTGCGCAGGTGAAACGGAAATAGAAGTAGAGGAGATGGAGACAAAGGAAAAGATCGAACTTAGACGGAGTGGAAGAATTAAAAGGCATCTGATTAAGAAATTGGTGCCAAAGAAGTTGAGACACAGAAAGAAGAAAAACGAGGATCAATGGGGAGCTGATATACATAAAACGGAGCTTGAAGAGGAATCACAAGAAGAAGAGATACAAAGGGTTGATAAAGTTCTATGGGAGGAATCAGAAATGGGACGAGTCAAAGAAGAAAAGGCGGAGAAAGGGCCATCACGGCAGCGACTGAGTGGGAATGTGATAGTGATTGTTCTTCTTGCAGGGCTGGTTTTAGGAGGGCGGGGGGCTGCACTTTTGATCACACTTGTATGGTGCTTGATGGTAACATATATTGGGAGATTCAGATGTTGAAATGAGGTATGAGATAAGATTAGATGATCATGGATTTAAATTGCGGTTGATTTAAATTGCGGTTGTGGTCCTGTTTTAGATTCCGTTGTATTTCTCGTAATTGCTGCCGGTGGTATCGTGGTGATTGCAGATACCACAATTATAAAATGACGGTTTCACACTGATACCATTACTGCAATATAACATTGGCTATTTAAATCCCTGTATGTGATCTACCGGCTGCATCTCAAACTAAGATTTCTACGATGCATCGTAGCTTTCAGTGACAAGATTTTGCGGATGCTGGCCACATTCATGTTTGATTTGTATGTGGATGAGACTGCTGGCTGCCTGAAGCCCGCGGGTATATAGATATAGAGAGGGAGCTGCAACGTTTTTTGGTTGTAATTTGAAGTGTATATTTACATGTACAAATTCAGAATCAATCCACAGTATTCGTTGATTCAACTCTTACATTGTTTCTTGATGTCTGTCATAGAACTCAGAAATGGGTTAATCTTGTGCTTAATTTATTATTGATGATGTTTTTGGTTCAAGAATTACATTATCTTGTTTTATGATGCGCCATTTTTAAATTAGATCAACTCTATGGCCTTCCCGGTAAAATTTCGGGAATAATCTCTTTCGTTTCTTTAATCAAAGTGATATCCATACTATATTATTTTTAGGAATGAAACTTTTTTTTTAATGAAATGAAAGTGCACAGTAGTTAAAACCAACTACTCAAGGCTTAAGCTGCATATGATGAGCAACATCCCGATGATAAGTGATAGCGATCTCCGCCGGGGGACTGTGGTAATATTTTATTACAAAAGAGTTCGACCAAGCCATTTTTGTTATGCCATCTGCGATCCCATTGCATTGTCGGGGAACATGGGCAAAAGTTGCCCTCCAATTAAGCTTAACAATATCAACGATGCGCGGCACCATTAAGGAACTTCCCCAAGTATGAGCTTCCCAATCAATTACCAAAACAGCCTCTTTACTATCGGATTCCACTTCAATAGATGGAATATTCCTTATTTCTTCATATTTCTTCTTCTATTTTCTTATTGCTTTATTCTTTTTATTTTATAACACTTTATCAACATGGCTTGCTTAGACGTAATTGTTTATTTATTTTGAAGATCATATTCGTCATCTAGTTTTCTTTAATTGTGATTTTTCACGATAAAGATTGAATTTCCAGCCATAACAACACTCCACAGTTTTATATAAGTATATTTCATACACTACTTCTCAATCAAGATAGGTTTCAAGATCACCTTCTTCAAGAATGTGAAGTAAACCGCAGAGATTGTCCGACCAAGATCGCCTTCTCTTTCTCAAATCATCAGGGGTCGAGCTAGAGATGAATATTCAAGTTTTGGAAATACAAAGGTTAAAAGAATAAGTGAGGAAATGGAAATTTCTTCTTTTGATTCAATTTCACAATCTTAGTTAGATTTAGAACTACTTTCCAACTTTTAAACATTCATCATTGATACGTAGATTCTTGGAGTTCCACCGTCGCCATCATCATTATCATCTCATCATTAAACAGTCTTTCAAAGGTTTCTTTGAAAATCATGGTTTAAAGTTGTAATTTGAACCGGATCAATCAAATGAGACTAGTAAACACCAAGGTTTTTTATTTAAAATTTTTAATAAAAATATTGTTAGTTAAAAAGTAATTAAGATTTTCAATAAAAATATTTTTATTTATTTTTAATAATACTTTATCATAATTTAAATTAATATATTATAATTTTCCAATATTAAATATATATATATATATAACATATAATGTACAGTACAAAATAGTCATTAATCTCATTAAAAACACTTTTTAACAGTAATTCTAAACCCTACAAAATAACATAAAAGTGCATATCAAAATCACATCTTTACAGTATTGTTATCATAATGTTCAAAAACAATGTTAAACTGACCCTTAATTAAAGAAATTCAAAGTAAGAGTTACACACCTTCTATTATTGGGTCTTTTTAGGCTTAATGCTTGTAAGAAAAATAAGATACTACTATGAATATTTGTTAATGTAGATCTCTATGATAATAATTTTAGGCTTAATATAAAATAATATTTTTAAAATTTTATAGACAATTCATATCGAGAAAATAATACATATTTCTCTTCTTATCTTCATATTTCTTATATTTTCTTATTGCTTTATTCTTTTTTTATTTTATAACACTATCAACATGGCTTGCTTAGACATAATTTTTTATTTATACTGAAGATCACATTCATCATCTAGTTTTCTTCAATAGAGATTTTTCATGATAAAGATTGAATTTCCAGCCATAACAACTCTCCACAATTTTATATAAGTATATTTAATACACTACTTCTCAATCAAGATAGGTTTCCAGATCACCTTATTCAAGAATGTGAAGTAATCCACAGAGATTGTCTGACCAAGATCGGTTTCAAGATACTTCGGTGTACTTATTACAAGAGGATTACTTGACATCAGAGTTCCAGATCAGAAGAGTACGATCATAAACAAGGGACATGCATTGACCATGCATCTTATATCATTCGATCGACCGATCTACCCAGACGACTCAACCTAACCTGACTCTTAAACTACTAAATGTAACACCCTCTGACCGATATAGTTGTTCTGATCCGATCTGGGGTGTCACTGACAACTCCATAAAAGACAGTGTTCTAGGTCTTTTTACTTAGGTTATTATTTGCCTAAAAGTCATTTGTCATAGCATTTTAGTTGCATATAGAATACATTTGCATGTGGTGGATAAGTTTTGTCGAGGCAAACTTTATTTGGTTTAACTGATGCTGCTTGAGAGGAAGGTTGTCTAATCATACTTGGGAATTGGTCGACTTGCATAGAGGATTTAAACCAATAAGAAACAATTGGGTCTTCTAGAAGAAACTCATATCAGATGGTTTGATACAGCAGTACAAGGCAAGGCTAGTTATCAAAGGATTCACTCATAAGTTTGGCTTAGACTTCTTCGATACCTATTCTACCGTAACAAAAATCTCAACAATCCGTGCATTATTTGCAATAGCCTCTATTCACAATTTGCAAGTAAATCAAATACATGTAAATATTGCATTATTGAACGAAGATCTAGATGAGGAGATCTATATAGAGCAACATATTGGTTTAGAGGCGCCTGACATGGAAGCCAAAGTGGGTAGACTGAAAAAGCCACTTTAAGGCCTGAAGCATGCTCCTAAATAGTGGTATGAGAAATTTCATAAAACTATCCCGAGTTTTGGTTTTGTTGTGAATTGTTTTGATGCATGTGTGCATTCCAGGATGCTTAGTACTGATTACTTCATCATAAGTTTATATGTTGATTTTCAGTACTAACATTGAGTCCATTAATAAAACAAAGAATTTCTTACTTATTAAATTTGAGATAACCGATTTAGGAGAAGTCAATGTGATCTTAGGGATCAAAGTTACCAAAATTGATTAGGGATTTTCTTTAATTCAAACACATTACATTGAGAAAGTGTTAAAGAAGTTTGACAGCTTTAATGTCATCCCTTTTCGAACTCCTTGTGATCATAGCATACATCTCTTTAAAAATAAAGGAAGTAGTGTTTCCCAAACAGAATATGCTAAAATAACTGGAAGCCTAATGTTCTTATTGAACTATACTCAACTTGATATTGCCTACGCTGTGAACAAACTTAGTATATATACTCATAATCCAAGTGGTGAACATTGGGTTGCTTTTCGACGCTTACTCAAGTATCCTAAGGGTACGATGAATCAGAAACTTATGTTTGTTGGTTATCCTACTGTTTTAGAAGGATATTGTGACCCTATGAGTGCTTTAATTAGTTACTATTTTATTATTAATTACTCCTTGATTTATCAGTTTATGTTGTTGATTTGGCCATTTTTGTTCATTTTTCTATACAGGACATTAGATTGCAGAAACAGTTCTATAAAGGAAAATATCAACAACTTTTATTTTTCTGGAGTCAAGGTTGGATTAATGGACATGATTGCATTTGATCCAATGACTTCTAGAAGATCCAATCACCATAATCCAGAAGGTCCAGTTAGCATTCTTGAAAAACGATTAGCTTCAAATTCAAATTAGAATTTATTTTTATTTTTTTAGGAATTATCGTTTAGAACTAACTCTTATATTTTAAGAATTATTATTAGGAATTATTTCCTATTTATTGGGATTTATCTTTTCGGATTTATTTTTCTTGTATAATTAAAAAGTTATATCTTGATATTTCTATGTATTTTAGGACACTATAAATAACCATCCAGGGTAAGCCGTAACATATCTCTCATATCTAAAAGTACTTTGTTCTTTGCTTTCCTTAGTTGAATAAATCTTTCTTTTCTTTTCTTTATTTTTTTCAGTTTCTTTATTTTTCTTTTAATGTCAAGCATGATTTCTATCATGATTGGCTAATTTCTCAATAAGCCAAAGGCTGAAGTTGCGACTCAATCCAATATTGTGAGAATAAATAAAAGGCACGTAATTTCCTTAGATTATTTTCTTGAATTTTCAGAAAACCAAGGAGGTAGTTAACCTTTCTTCAACATCTCGACATCTTCAATCCAAGGAGTGCACATTGTATTAATCAATATTGTGACCTACAGTTAGGGAGGAGAATTGACGTGTAGCAAGTTCAATTCCCTAGGAACAAACTTGATGGTCGTGCTCTAAGGGAAATCAAGATCGAGTTCAATTCTCATTGAGAGACCATAATATGAGCACAAGCTTTTCTTATTCCTGAATCAGTGTCGATATTAACATCAATAGGTATTGTTAATCTGAACAAAGACTATATTTCCAAGGATTGACTTTGGAATATTAGTTCACCAGAGAGAAGAGTAAGTTACAAGGGTTGGGCCTTGTAGACTATAACAAGAAAGTATCTAAGGTAAAATCTTTTTCAATGATCGAGACATGATTGAGGCAAAGCGAAGCTGGAGGCTATCTTTCAATAATTATCTTTTCTACAATTTACTTTCATCGCTTTAGTTATTTAATTTTAGTTTAATTGTTTATTCCAAAACCCCCATTTTTTTAAATATTTGTTTTTATAGGTTTCTTGGTTTAAATAAAATCAAAATAGAAACATATATTTCTAGAGTCCATGTGGATCTACACTTCTTCTCACTATTCTACCTATACTATTTCTTGAGATTAAGGATAATTTATTTGACAAGAAAATGGCCCTTGTCAAATTGGCGCCGTTACCAGAGAACTTCATCAAAGTAACTGATTTTGTTTGTTTTTTGATTTATGACCATGCAAAACCCATGCATACTATAAGAATTTGATCCAAAAATTGAAGCACGAGCTAGAAGAATTCACGAACAAATGCTTCAAGAGAAAAACAGATGAAAATGACAAAAAGAATCGCATTCAAGATCTACCACTGCGTCTCATGAAGGCACTATGCATCCCGACGTCGATTTTGTACCTAACGTACACCCGA